TATCAAGGAAAAATTATTTTATTTCATGGCTTTCTGGAATTCTTGTTAACATAATTTTTCCACTGATTTTTCTTCTAAAACATTCATGTTATCTGTAAATCTATTGGTTGACCACTGTGGACCACAGAGGTATGAACACCTTACTTCAGGAATCTTTGTTCTACAGATTTAAATAAGAAAATATGTGGGTTGAAATGACACCAAAGTTGCCAGGTGTAGTGGCCTATACCAGCATCCTAGCACTTAGAAGCAGGGGTATAAACATTTCAGAACCAGTCTCCCTGCTTTGTAACAACTCCCTCCAAATTTAAGCATTTAAGCTTCTCAACTTAGGAAGTAAGCAAACCTTACAGAGCTCAGGAACCAAGCAATTCACTAGTCTCAGAAAGTTCCTGAAATGCAGAAGATTCATACACCTCCTCCAATTATTAGCATTTACAACCTGATGGGGAGTAGAGATTCTGATCAGCTGAGATCCTTACAGCTGTGCAGATAGCTCCAGGGACTTGGACAATGCTGGGGTGGGTTTTTGATGATGTAACTATGTTAGAGTCATTCATGCTCCTGTCAGTTGCTCTTCACTCATACTCTGTAAGTAAGTCCAGGAAACTGGTTCACCAAGTAGTACTTTGATGAAATAATTTATTTTACCTTTTGTTGGTGCCCTATTTGGGGTAAATAGATGTTTGTACATGCCTCACCAAGAAAAGTCATATAACACATGACTACATATACTTAGTGAGTTAAGTGCCAACCTGGGCTTACATGTGACCTTGTCCCCAGATAAATACAAGAAAAAAATTATAATGATTTGAAAAAATTTGAGAAGCTACTTACTTCTATCTTGTCTTTGGGCATCTATTTCTATCTGAGGAGAAACTCAAAGCAATTTCCTGGTGTGAGCCTGGGCTTGATGTTGATATTACTATGTTAGATGACTTTTAATTTGTGCATAAAGTTTAATGATGATGCTCATTTAGATGTCATTGTGGGTGGGAGAGCAGAATCCCACAGAACCTTTCTTCCAAGAAAATCATAATTTTTTAACTACCTAGTTCTTATCTCAAATTCTTTGTTTCCAAAAGGAATCCTTAGTTTAAGAAAAAAATTTCCCAATGTTTTCTAATGTCTACTTTTGATCTTGGTTGTTACAATGGTCAAGACAGAAAGCTAAGTTCATCTAGGAAGATATTTGGTAATTTTAGGTAAAGAAAGCTATAGCAGGAATCTTAAAAAGTTCTTATTAATAAGATCAAACCCAGACCAGGTATTGGGGTGAATTCTGGAAGATCAGAGAGACAGAACAAGCCACAGCTAACCTCACCTGGCCAACTTCTCAGCTGGTCTTGTTTCCTCACACTGGATGCTTCTGTGTCCTCATCCCAATGGCTCTCAGCTGAACTGCTGCTTGAAAGCCTGAAGCTTAACCAGCTAAAAGCTTAACCAGCCAAATGCTTCTTGTTTCTGGTCTTCACGCCTTATATATCTTGCCTTTCTACCATCACTCCCTGGGATTAAAGGCTCGCTTTCTGGGATTAAAGGCGTGTGTCACCATGCCTGGCTGTTTCCAATGTGGCCTTGAACTCACAGAGATCCAGAGGGATTTCTACCTTTGAAATGCTAGGATTAAAGGTGTGAGTACCACCATTTTCTAGCCTTTGTATCTAGTGACTGTTCTGTCTCTGACTCCAGGTAAGTTTATTAGGGTGTACAATATTTTGGGAAACACAATACCACCACAGAAAACAAACAAAGCTTTCAAAAAATATTCAAACTCTAGCCCAGCAGTGGTGGCTCACACCTTTAATCCCAGCATTTAGGAGGTAGAGCCAGGCAGATCTCTATGAATTCAAGGCCAGCCTGGTCTACAGAGCAAATTCCAGGACAGGCACCAAAACTACACACAGAGAAACCCTGCCTCAAAAAAAAAAAAAAAAAATTCAAACTCAGGGAAATCTTCAGACTTTGGACCAACCTTATAGATTTGGATTTCTGCATTTTGAAAGCACTGGGCATTTTGAAAGGGTAGGTGCTTAGGCATAGGGAATGTAAAGAAAGTGTGTGTGTGTGTGTGTGTGTGTGTGTGTGTGTGTGTGTGTGTGTGTGTGTGTGTTGGGGAGACAGACACATACAGAGACATGAAAGAGTTCTTCACATTTATTCCATAGCTTATTTTCATTGCTAATCTTATGTTTCTTGGCTTTGAAGTAGAACTTTCTGATATTTTCAGCTTGGAGCAAATCAGAAAGTTCTAATGAGTTTCCTTGATATTTACTTTGACCCGATTCAGGTCAGCTTATTGCTTTTTTCTCATACTCCAAAAGCAGAGTAAGAGGAGGGAAACTTCCTCTTGCTCATTAGGGCTTCAGTGAGTAATCTTAACTCAAGGATTTCTAATTAAAATGTAAAGATCATTAGTATGAGTCATAACAGAGGCTTTTCTTCCCAGTTGGTGCTGTGATGGTGGTTTCAGGCACACTTCTGCATCCGCCTCACTGAACATCCGATGCTCTTGGCACAGTTTCTCAGCAGCAGAGGGCCTTGACCGGTACCCAAGCTTCTGTTTGAGGGCAGGGAGATAGAATGCAGGCCTGGAGGAACCAGAAGGAGAAACTAATTGCAAGGGCAGCATTTTCTTTGCTGCTAGTACCAGGCCCACAGCATGAGTGGTGCAAAAGGAGAAAGAGGAAGAGGACACTAAGGCTGATGGGAAAGACATTACCTTATATTTTACAATTCTTTACCCAGGAGGGAAAGAACTGAGATGGCTACTCATAGACATAAGATGAACTTTTTTTGTTAGTATTCCATTAATTTGTTTTATATTCCAATTTTGTCCTTCAGGAATTCAAATACCTATATAATCTTCACTGTTGCAAAAACACTATGATATATGCTACCTTTCCCATATTTCTGACATTTTAAGTAGAGATATTTACTTCTCTTTGGTGGTGCAATACTGTTGATCATGTCAACTAAATTATTTCATTTTGAAAGTAAAAATTGTGATTAATGGAATCTTTAAGTCTTCTGTTGTGTAGGGATTCATGGGGGATTTAGCTCCCAGTTAATCATACTTATGACTTGTTTTATGTATGACATGTTAATAAGGCCAAACTTTAGAGCCTCAGTCAACAGCAAGTAAAAATATAGAACTGTGTGTATTTTCCATTGCTAGGCTTTAATCTTAGGAATATTAATGGAGGATTTAAATCAGAAACAAGAAGAATGTAATGACTCTATAGATGCTTTAGTGGAAAATGTACGCTCATTGATTTGCTTCTCCCCTCTGTCATCTGAACTTTTGACCCATTTCAATTGTCACAATGTAATTAGTTTTTCTATTGAAAGAGTTGGGGCTAATAGAATAAAATACATTCTTTCATAATTAAGATTGCTGGGCTTCTGGGAGAAGATGGCTATTTGGGTTATTTGTGATTTCAAATTCAGTTAGTTGCAATGGCAAATGATTATGATTTACATATACACATTTATCTTTCATCTTATTAATTAACTGTGTTGGAACTGTTTGAGGATGACATGTGAATATTGACGTCATTCTGTGTTTTGATGTAAATGTCATCTAAGGCGTAGAAAGTTTAGAGAGAAAGTTTACACTCTCCTGTGATAGGAGATGGAAGACTTATTCTGTGATAGCCCTGGGGTAAAATGGTAAGGAGTTTAGCTACATCACAAACTCAATGCCCATTTCCCAAGGGATGGTACTAACTCTAAGGCATCAGGAATCTGTTCATCATGGCAGACAGAAAAAAGTAGTATGAGGGACAAACTTGTTTGTCAACTTGATAGATATGGGAACAGGCAACCTCAGTTGAAGAACTGTCTTCTTCAGATTGGCCAGTGTACATGTCTATGGAGTTCTTTCTTAATTGCTAATTGATGCAGAATTGTCCAGCCCATTGTGGGAGGTGTCATCCCTAGGCAAGTGGGCTTGACTGTTTAGAATGATAGCAGAGAAAGCCAGGGGAACAAGCTAGTATGAAGCATTCCTCTATGGCTCCATTTCACTTCTTGCCTTGAGTTCTGCTTCAATTTCTCTCCATAATGTATTGTAACCAGTGAGGAAATAAAAACAAAACCCTTTCTTTCTCAAGTTGCTTTTGGTCAATGTTTTATCATAGCAGCAAGACAGATAACTAAAGAAAAGTGGTAAAGAAAAAGTTGAAGTCAAGGAAGAGACATCAGAATAAATACCTAGTATGCTTTATATTTTTATATAGACATGGTTATTGGATGTATAGGGATAGGGCCAACCGATTTTTTTCTCATAGTTTTTAAAAAATATAAGTATAAACATTTCTGAGTCAGATAAAACTTAAACTACAGATTCTACTGTCATGGTTCACATGCAAATAGTTGTCTAATTAAAGTACATATGAGGGCTAGGGTTGTCACTTAAAGGCATAGACTTTACTCGACATATGCAAGATCTTGAGTTCAGGCCCCAGAACTTTAAAAGTAAAAGTTAAAAAAAAAGTTAGCCTATACACAAAACTGTAGCTCAGTTGAGAACAGTGGTTTTTCACACTCGTGTGCACATTGCAACCACCTGGGGGGCTCATTAAATTCATGGTCTGTACACCGCCCTTAAAGTTCCTAGCACATTCCCAGCCACTGCTGCAACTTCTCTCTGGGGTCCCATACTGAGAACCATGATAAGATGCCTATGAGAATTTAAGGAAGTATTTCTTTACTGTACTTTAGCGCTCTGTTTGGTTAGGATTTCTGAATTGTTGTTGTTGAGCCTATCTAAAGAGGTAGCAGGAACATTTCATGAAGTTACCATGAGATATGTTTGTAGTCACTTTCATATTAGAGATGTTATGTACATGTATCAACAATCATTTATAACTCGTGTCTAAGACATAAGGTTAAAGGGATGTTTGTGATCCATGTATGTCTATCTACCTATCTATAATCTAATTAAATGTCTATGACTATTATCTATGAAGATACAACTTTATGATGGATTTTTTTTAATCAGGAGAGTGTGAATGTAGTCCTTTATTACCACAAATTACACAGTTCCATTTCCTGCATTTTGGGACATCTCAGGGGTCAGCACATCTGGAGTGCAATAGATGAAGCTTACCCTGAGAAAATCACCTTCATGACCATGGTATCTCCCCTGCCAGGTAAGTATTTTATGGTGGATATTTGTGATTTACATGTCTAAATCTTTTTTGTAGTTTAGGTTGGATTCAGTTTTTGATGAAATGTTGGATGCAGGAGGAATATCTCCAAGGGTTTTATGAAAGTTTCTTGTGGTAAGTGAAGGTAATACATCACTGGATCTCCTGAGAGAATTGCTAAGAAAAATTCATAGGAAATCTTGAAGACATCAGATATCTTGAACAATTCTATCCTCTTATTGAAGTACTTCAGCACTGAAATGTTTTAATCACTGAGACAGATGTTAAAAATATGAATTTTGTGTATATCTGTAGCTAGATGTGACTAGTTGCTTCATTTGACTATTGACTTAGCTGTGTATTTGTACTCCTTTTCATTTTCCAGTTTTACAGTAATGGGGATTGAACCCAAGCTCTGTATGCCAGGCAAATGTTATATCACTTTTCTACATCCTCAACCCTAGTTCCACTTTTGCAAAGAACATGTATGTATTTTTGTATCAGTCTTTCATTTAAGCAAAGCTTCAAATTGGTTGTCAAAGAGTACAGTGCACATGTCTGGAAAGCTCTGCCCAGCAACCTCATAGTAGGAGCAGATGTTCACGAAATAGCTGTGGAACATCTGTGTCAGTGGTCCATGGGTCCTTGCTGTGGGTTACTGAAGCATGCACAAAGGTTCACACTTTCTCTTTTTCTGGTTCCCACATGCCTACATTTGATTAGTGACTTAAATAGGAGAAACCATGGTAAATGCCATACTTCCTGTCAAGGGAAATAATCTCCTCTCAGGGAGCTGAGTGTCTGCTCTCAGTGGAATGGGACATGCCATGGCTCTGGGCATACCATGGTGACTTATATATACACATTTTATTGTTTGGAAAGAGGCATGTAACACTGAGGATCCAAGTACTCATTGAAAGATTGTCTTTGTTGATTTTTTTCATTTTGGTCTTGGGGTGCAGCAAAACAATGTATATTGCTGAAGATCAGCCTTATGCCTACTGAAAAACCTTTTCAAAAGAGTATTTTGGTAAGTAAACAAAGAAATGGGTTTTATTGTGTCACTTTCATACACATACATCAGTATACTTTGTCCTTTAACGCTCTCTGTTCTCTCCATTCCCAGACCTTACCGATCCCTTTTCTACCCCTAAGGAATCTCCCCTTTTATTATATTCTATTTTCCTCTTCTGTTCTCTCTCCTCTTTGCTTTAGACTTATCCCTTCCTCACATAGATCACTTTATGCTTTCATGACATTTGTATGACATGAAAAAAATATATGCAAAATCCAGATTCCACATATGAGAGAAAACATGATCTTTCTCTTTTTTGAGTCTATTTTTTTCACTTAATACAATAATCATCAATTCCATCTATTTTCTTGTGAATGTCATACTTTTACTCTTCTTTACAGCTAAATTAAATTCTACTATGGATTTTTTTTTATCGATTTATCTTTTGATGGACATCTAGGCTAGTTCCATACCTTCCATATTGTGAATAGCATACTAATAGATATGAATGTGAAAGGATCTCTGTGGTGGGCTGGTTTGTTCTACTGGGTCTGTAGGAGAAGTAGTATAGCTGGCCTGTCTTCAGTCTTTGGAGGAAACTCCCTTCTGGCTTCCAGAGTGGCTGCAACAGCTACATTCCCACCAGCAGTGAATAAGGACTCCTTTCTTCATATCCTCACTAGCATTTCTTATTTGTTCTCTTGGTTATGGTAGCCATTTTGACTAGGAAAAAGTGGAGTCTCGAAACAGTTTGTATTTCCATTTCTCTAATATTATTCAATTGTTTTCCAAATATTTATTATACATATGTATTTCTTTCTTTGAGAACTGTCTATTCAATTAAGCGGCACATGTATTAATAATGGTCAATTTGCTTTATTGGTGTTTTGTGTTTACAGTTTTTCATAGATTTCTGTATGTATAGACATACATACATTGACTTTATAATCTTCTGTAATCAATATAGTTGGCAAAGATTTTCTCCCATAGGCTGCTTTTTCTGTGTGTTGATTTTTCTTTGTTTTGCAGAAACTTTTCACTCTGAGGCAATCTCACTTTCCATCTATTGAGGTTGTCTTTTTTTTTTTTTTTTTTTTTTTTTTGGTTTTTCGAGACAGGGTTTCTCTGTGTAGCTTTGCGCCTGTCCTGAAACTCACTTGGTAGCCCAGGCTGGCCTCGAACTCACAGAGATCCACCTGGCTCTGCCTCCCGAGTGCTGGGATTAAAGGCGTGCGCCACCACCGCCCGGCCTGAAGTTGTCTTTTTAATACTAACTCTTCAAAGTAAACATTTCATTTTTTATCATCTGTATTTCCAAATTTCCAACTTCTTCCATGGGAAGAAGAAATACCATGGGACAAAGTGCTTAGGGATTTAAGTGTTTATAGCTAATACTACTGAATTTCAGTTTCAATTTTATAGCATGAAAATTCTTTGTGAATTTGTCTGTTTTTTTAATAATCCAAGTAGAATGTAAACATGAGAGTGGGAGGCAGGACACATGTGTGAAGAGAAACCATATGCTCCCATTTTTGTCATTGATTTTCATACCCAATGTTGACTGTATGTTAGACAGATTAAATAGTTCTCTGCATACTAAACATGTTTAAATGTTGCCCAGTGACTGGATTGCCTCAACATCTTATCTACTCAAAAGAGAAAAAATTTCCAAATCTACCCCATTGTGTCAAAACCTCCTTCTTTCTTTTCCTCTATCCCCAGTCAATTTTTGAGATAGCTACAGGCAACAACAACAAAAACAAAAACCATAAAAAAGCAAAAAGAAAAAGCAGTTTCAAAATTTATTTTGACTGAAATAATAATATTTCCCAGATTTGATGATTAATTGTAATTAAAGTATTATAATGCTGACTTTTGAATTGCAGAGTCCAATTCACATATCTCAATCTAATGCTTTTTTTCTAAACATCCTGCCTTCCTACATCAAACAAAAAATCCAACAATGCTGTTTCAGATTTACTATTATAACCAACACATCATTCTATAATTGCAAAATATTCAAAGAAAACAATATTAGTTTCTTTTTTGTTGAGTAGTTGAGTGTTTATGGGTGCTTCCCTTCTACTGTGAATCAACACAGATATGATTCTCAAATTCCTGAGAGTATAGAAGGAATGTGACAATTTTATTTATAATAATTGGCAACTTCAGAATCATATACTGGAGCATTATGTATTTGTACAGCATTGTGAACTTTTGGGCATTTAACATCCAATAGTGTTTATTAGAGCCTAGAGCAGGTAAGCAACCTGGGCCTGGAGCAAGTAAACAAGTCAATAAGAGAAACGAACCCTTACGAAGACTGAGTTCTGGGCAATAGTGTCTCTAAGCTGCAAAGTGGTCAGTCAACTTGGTCTTGGGAAATAGTTCATTTCTTCCAATGATGCTGATCACTGGAGGTGCATATACTGTTAACATATGGAAGTTCAGCCTTTGACATGGCAGCAAACATTTCATTGCCTTGGAGCTTGAATATTGTTGACTCAAGAAAACTAACCATTGTTCCCAAGTAAAGAATATACTTCTTAATCATACACTTTTCTGGCCTTTGGAAATGAAGTATTTAAAATGAGTTTCTTTTTGTAAACAACTTTGTTTTATTTACTGGTGGATTCATAAAGGAACCAGGGAGCATCCCTCCTTTTACTAAGGAGCCTGGGAAGCCAGAGGGGACAATGGCACTGTCAAAATAAAAATTCACAAAAACACTTCACAATGATAGCCCCAAAATAGTCTCAAGCTGCTGGTTAGGTTGGAGGTCTGGAGGTGTCTGACACTTACTTTTCACTTATCTTTTTATAAAAACAAGAAAACAGACTGTGGTGTTTCTTGTTTTCTGGAAAAATATTAGAACCTTGTTAATTATGCTAGAATGAACATGGCAGCAAAAGGAAAAATATGATTTTAAGTATAATGATGCATGCTGGAAACACAGACTGGCAAGCATATGGGGTTCTGGCATCTGGACAGAAGCTTTCTGAACCATCTGCTTCTCAGGGGTTCTTCTGGCAATGTCTGCATTTATTCCAGTGATTCACAGGTCTGGGCTAAGGGTTCTCAACAAGCAGCTAAGATGGGCACAGATACTCAGAGCTTCTGTGCACAGATCCATGTTACATTACCTGGAGGAGTCACCCTAAGATGTAACGTGTGTCAATATTTCATCGTGGTGGTGGCAGACATTTCTTCATGCTAATATTTTCTTCACATTATGCATCAGGAGATGGTCATTTTCTCCTTGAGAGTCGTTCCTCTGCTTCTAGTTCTCTGAAATGTGTGTAATTGAGTGAGTATGTCCTCTGCTACATGTCTTTAACTGAAGACCTAAATGGTAACTTGGCTCTCCTTTTTTCATTCTATCCAGTATTTGCAGGAATTTTAGGCATTTCTTGAATGTTTTTTAGGACATGGCAAGATGCTTCATGTTCTACTTTTAAAGTTAATTTTTTTTTTTTTACTTTTGAGGTATTTGTATAGCATATTATTGTTTTGATTTTTGGTTTAAAAAATCTAACTTTATATTTAAATGTGTTATGTACGTTGGTTAAATATTTGACCCCACACTTTCAGACTTTTGTGTTGAAGCCCCATGACTTAATACATCAAGTGGTTTTGCAGATGGGGTGTGTGAGCTCCGGGCAGTAGTCACAGATAAGTAAGGTCATGAAGGTGCTGCCCCCTTGATGGCATTAGTGCTTTATAAGAGTTGGAAGTGGCAAGAGTTCATTCTTTGCACTGTGTGATAAAATTGAGGAGGCAGCTATTTATATATCACCAAAAGATGCTTTACCAGAACCCAACCATATTTGCCTCTTGATTCCAGACTCCAGAACTGGAGAAGTAAATTAAATGATTGTTGGTTTCAGCCATTTAGTGTATGGCTTTTGTTACAGCAATCTGAGCTAAGGAGACTAAGTAGACATGTTTCCTTTTCAGGCTACTTTTGGATATTTTAAAGGTACAGGTATAATTTTA